TTTTTTTGGGGGGGGGAGTCAATGTCCACTCCTGGAAACTTCTAGAAGTGGTGATTGTGTACTAAGGCAAGGCCACCCCATGCATCGTTTAAGCCCACCCCACTAAAAATAAACCCCAGAGTAGACTTCTGATCACTTTTGCCTTGGGGAAGAAGGCTTTTTCATTTAAAAAATAGAGCTGATGTGCTCTGTGGTGGGTCCTATGGAAGGGAAATTGGTCCATACTCCCAATAAAGTTGACCATGACTGGTGTAAGTGGGGGTAGGATCTTGTCTTTACAGATATAAGAACATGGACACTCAGTCTGAGGAGACCATGTTGATATTGTTCTCAGAGAGTCTAACAACTTCATCCTAGAAACCGTGGCCAAGCCATAATTCCCTCCCCAAATGCTTTGGAGCCAATGGCCTAAATCCAATTGCTTTTTCCAACTAGCAGAGGACCATTGGAGCATGGGATTTACAAAAGCATGAAATTATCATCCAGTAATTGATTCAGTGCCTCTATCTACACTAGTTGGGATTAGCAGTTGGATTTAGGCCAATGGCTTCTGAAGCCAGGCACGTCCCCTTTAGTAATAACAAGTCGCTTCTCCTAGAAGAAGCTGAGCTAGCTCTTTTCACACGTTTTTGTGATCAGGTTGTTTCCAAACTGAAATCAAATCAGCTTTTTTTAAAAAAATAGATTCTTTCAGTGAAGAAAATATCAAAAGCTATTTCTTCCCGTTTTTGTTATAATAAGTTAGAGATATGGAGGAAACAAAACACTTTTCACATGTGTTGGGTGTGGAATTAAGATGTAATTTGCTATTTTTTGGGGTCGTGACAGAACACCTATTAAGGCTGGTCTTGCAATTCTTTTAAAGGTGAGAGCATGTGACTTGGCTAAAGACACCCAGTCACCCAGTAGGTTTCCATGGCCAAGCGGGGATTTGAACCCTGATCTCCAGTGTCGTAGTCTAGCACTCAAGCCACTACACCACACTGGCTCTCATAGTTGCAGTTCAAATTATGGCTTATATTGGAAAAGCACTGATTTGACAACGGCAGGGGCCCTTCTTCTGAAAGACTCCCCAGAGGAACCTGTGTGTGTTTATGCGTGTGCCTTCAAGTCACCTGTTGATTTATGGTGACACTATGAATTTCATACGGTTTTCTTAGGCAAGGAATACTCAGAGGTGGTCCGGCTACTTCCCTCCTCTGAGATAAAGCCTACAGGCTAGCACCTGGTATTCATTGTGGTCTCCCATCCAAGTACTAACCAGGGCTGACCCTGTTTAGTTTCCAAAATCAGACAGGTCTGGTGCCTTTAGGACACCACCGATGCTTTATACTTTGTACACACACATGCTCCATTAAGAAGGAAAATACTTATCTTTAGGTTGACAGTGCTTGAAGCCATCTATCTGGAAACAACCATTTGAGTCAAAACTACTTGGAAAAATCTGAATATTATGGGGAGGGCTAGTATGGGAGCTAAATGCCATGGCTTCCCTCAGCTGAAATGGCTTTCTTTAGCCCTGCATGTTAATAAGTAGTGCCTGCCAATGTTTCTCTGTTCTTTGGCATCCTGTGTGCGATCAATGAACTGTCCCTCTTTCCCTTGCATGAGGCAAGGCAGGGCTGACTGAAAACATTATTCTACCTAAGGGAAGGGATAGGTTGGCACGCATCCACTCCCACATATCTTATGACCTTACTTCAACACTGGTGATGGGACAACATCCTCCACTTCACTCAAGAGTAACAGGCTATCCTCAGGCATGCAAGGCAGGTTGACAGGAATGCACAAACTTCTTTCCTCAAACAGAAGGTACTGTTGTTGTTGCATGTCCCACAAAATGCTACATCTACTGCATGAGGCAAGTGCAGTTGGCTCTTGTTATCTGATGGGGTTTGGTTCCAGGACCCTCATGGATACCAAAATCCATGGATGTGCAAGTCCTATTACATACAATGGCATTGAAATGGTGCTCCTTATATAAAATGACAAAATCAAGGGTGGTTTTTTTAGAATGTGTGTGTGTGTGTACTTTCAAGTCGTTTTCAACTTATGGAGACACTATCACGGGGTTTTCTTGGCAAGGTTTGTTCAGAGGAGGTTTGCCATTGCCTTCCCCTGCAGATGAGAAAGTGTGACTTGCCTAAGCTCACCCAGGACGTTATCACACGGGGTCTAAAGCAGACCCAATCCTCACCCAATCCCGTCCCATTGCGGTTCTTTTTCCCGTGTGTTCACACGACGTCGCACACAACCCCGTCCCAACCCCATCCCAATGCAGCATCATCCCCGTTCTTTTGAATTCCGGTTTCTTGGGGAATTACAAGTGCGCGACCGGAATGATACCACAATGATGCTGCTTTCGCTGTATGTCTGATCACGAGATACGTATCCTGGAGCCCAGGCTTCTTCCAGGATTGGGAAGGGGTGTGGTGACAGCCGGCTCACACATCCCTTCCCAAGCCAGCAAAAGAGAGGCACTCCGAGCAGAAGTCCTCAGAAAGAGGCGCCACTCTGAGGACTTCTGCTCGGAGCGCCTCTCTTTGCCGGCTTGGGAAGG